CCCACCTCGGTCCGTGTATGCTGACTCCGCTTGGAGCCGCCATCTGCGTCTAGCAAAACGGGCTGGCCGCCCCCTCCGCTCGGCTTCGCGCAGAGCGATCCCTCCAACCCCGTGGGCCTCTGGGAGAGGGTCGGCTGCCTAGCGACGACTGAACCTGGCGCGCCAGGATTTCCAGCGGCCACCCCAAATATATGTCCATCTCTATGTCGACCGTGTGGCTGGGCCCCCTCAGGCTCCAGAGGCGCGGCGGCGGCAGGCCCCCACGTTCCTGGAGCCTCCGCGGCGGCGGCGTCGCTGCTGGTGCCTAGGGAGCCAATGCCCCAGCTGCCGAATTCGATCCACACGTGACCCTCGGCGCTGACGGAGACGCCGAAGAAGTAGTGCGCGTGGGCGCGGGGGGCACGACGAGCGGGGTCTGAATCCCCCACCCCCGCGCCCAAAGCCTGGCCTCGACCTTCGCCAAGCCGCCGCATCTCACCGCGAATGCGTTGCAACTCACTCCAGTGTCGAGCCTCTTCTTGGGCTCGCAAGGCCACGGACTGGCCCTCCAGCCAGCGCAGGTACTCCACGATGTTCTCGCGATTGGTCCTGCTCGAACCCCAAGCCACTCTGCGCATGTCCTCCGCCAGCTCCTGGAGAGAACGCCCATCGAGCGCACCTTGCACCCAGCAAGCAACTCCATCGTCGCTGGCGCACAGGCCTCCATCCAGCTGGCCTCGCCAGAATGGGGCTCGGCCAGCAGCGGCATCCAGCGCGCGGCTGCCGCGTCGAGGCCGTCCTGGAAGACGGCGTCGGGCCCGTCGAACTCGTCGTCCTTGGGCGGGCGCCCCATCGCAGCGGGCGCAGGCTGGGACTCCGCCCGGGCGCCAACCTTGACCTCTTGGCGCCGTCGCCCTGCCGGCCGCTGCTCGTCAGGGGCCCCAGCCGCCGCGACCGCGTAGCCCAGAGCAGGCCACTCCAGGTCTTCGGCATTCGCCTCCCAGAAGCCAGGTGCGCCTCTGAGCGGCGGCAGAAATGGCGGGCGCCCTGCGCTTCCCTGGGCGCCCCCACCTCCAAGGGACTGGGGCCCCCTCAGGCCGCTGCGCCTCCGGGGGCCCCTGCCTGCCGCAGCTTGCCCTTCCTGTCGCGGGCACGAGCGCGCGCATCAGGACCGGCAGGAGCAAGGCTCGGGGCGGAGCCGATCTCCACCACCTCGGGCTTGGCAGCAGCATCGGCTGCCGCCTCCTTGCCACGCCCTTCGGCTCCTGCATCACGAGCAGTGCCGTCTGCTGCCTTGCGCTTCTTGGTGAGCCGAGCGCACTGCTTGGTGTGCTCTGCTTTGAGCTTGTCAAACTGATCCTTTGCTTGAGCAAAAAGAGACTTGGCATTATCGGCGATGAGTTCTTCCATCTGCTTCTTACGCTGCTGGAGCTCTTTCTTGTCTCCTTCCGACAAGTCATATTCCTCTTCGCTTACTTCGAGCAGGCCCCCACAACAGCTCTTGGGTCTTCTCGCGCTGCCGTGCCGAGCTCTTCTCCCATGTGTCAGCCAAATCCAACTCCTTTTCCATCCTCATAACGTGGGCGTCGCGCTCATCCACCAACTGAGAGAGTTGCTTCTCATGCGGCAGCACAGCAGGGCCAGCAGCCAGACGGTCGAGCTCCAGAAGCCGGAGCCTACACTGGCTGGCCACCGAGTCGAGCGACTGCTTGCTGGCCAAGGCCATGTGCTACTGAACCTTCTCGCGCTGCACCTTTTGAACGTTGAAGGCGAAGGGGTCTGGGCAAGCGAACTGCGGCCCTTCGCGCAAAGGGGGCTGCGCGCCTTTGCCTTCGCCTTTGCCGTTGCCGTTGCCTGTCTTGCCGCCAGCATCAGCTCCCCCTGCGTCTCGAGCTCGGCCATTGCGCCAGCGGCCAGGCTTGCCCGACGGCTCGGGCTGGGCGACTGCCAGCTGCTGTGCCCAAGGTTCTCGGGGCGAGAGAGCTGCTCCACATTGAAGCAATTGTTTGCCGACTTCTTGATTTTGCCGCAGCCGCACTTCCAACACTTGAGAGATTCAGGCTTTGCCGCTGCGAGCGTCCACTCATCGGCAGCAGCAGGGCGAGAACGAACCCAAGGAGCATACTGTTTGGTCATGCGAGGCTGCACACCTCAGAGACTGGCAGTGAGTGTATGTGAAAAAGGAAGAGCCTCCAGCCAGGGCAGGCTGAGAGGGAGGCTCTGATCTGTCGCGGGCCGCAAACCCCCCTACGCCACAATGTCAAGGCGAAACCGCTACGGACTTGAGGCAAAATGGCTACGGAGGAGGAGGAGGAGGAGGGGGAGGAGGAGGAGGAGGGGGAGAGGGGGAGGCGAAAGACAAGAGAGGACAACGAGGAAAAAGCAGAGAAGCAGAGAGAAGTATGATCACTGTGGGGGGCGACCACATACGTGTATGTTTATGTATATATAAATATATGTACATATGTATGCATTTACACATATATAAAAGCATTTAGGTATGTGTGCATACATATAAATATTCATATTTATGGTTGCCCCCCAAGATCATACGTTTTATCTTGAATCGTTCTCACGTTCAGCATCTTCTTCTTAATCCTTCCCTTCTGTTCTTCCGTCCTCCCCTTCTCCAAACACAAGTTCTCCTCCTCCTCGCCCATCCTCCTCCTCATTCTTCTTTCCGTTTCCTCTTCTTTGCAGTAACATAGAATACACAGTGTTTGGCTCCCTCGTTGCAAGGAAACGCTGTGCATGTTTTTTCTCCCTCTCGCTCTCTCTCTCTCTCTCTCTCTCGTTTTTTGGTCTAGGATACAATGCAACACTTTTTTTGCCTTGGCAGCTCAAGTGCCCCCCGCGGCCTCCTCCCAGCACCTCCTCCTTTCCTTTTCTCCTCCTTGTTTCAAAGCGAGAAAACCAACCATACACAGTGTTTGGCGCCCTCGATGTAGGGACAAGTTTATGTTTTTGTTCTCCTGTTTTGTTGGTTTCCGATGCAAGGAACCAGCGTTTTTTTGTGTTGGTTTTGTAAGCTCAAGTGCTCCCCGCGGCCTCCTCCCAGCACCTCCTCCTTGCATTTTCCTCCTGATTGCAAAGCAAGAACAGCAACCATACACAGTGCTTGGCGCCCTCGATGCACGGACACGTTGTGCATTTTTGTTTTGCTGTTGTTTGGGGGTTTAGGATGCAAGGACACATTGTGTATTTTTTTGGTTTTGGCAACTCAAGTGCTCCCCGCGGCCTCCTCCTAGCACCTCCTCCTTTGTTTTTCTCTTCCTTCTTGCAAAACAAGAGAACTCACAATACACAGTCTTAGGCCCCCCGGTGCAAGGAAACGCGATGCATTTTTTTTTTTGGTCTTCTTGGTTTAGGGTGCAAGGAAACATCGTGTATGTTTGGTTTTGTTTTTTTTGGGGGTGGGGGGTGGGAGCTCCCGAAAAGAAGGAGGAGGTGCTGGGGGGAGGCCGCGGGGAGCACTTGAGCTCCCCAAACCAAGAAATCCCCAAAAACAAAAACATGCGCAGTGTTTCCTTGCATCCTAAACCAACAGAACCAGAACAACCACCAATACACAGCGTTTCCTTGCACAGAGGGCGCCAAACACTGTGTATTTTTAGTTTTCTTGCTTTACAGCAAGGAGGAGGCAAGAAAAGGAGGAGATGATGGGGGGGCGCGGGGAGCACTTGAGCTTCCAAAACCAAACAACAACACAACCAAACATACACAATGTTTACTTGCATCCTAAACCCAAACAGCCAGAACATCCAAACATACACAGCGTCTCTTTGCATCGAGGGCGCCAAACACTGTGTATGTTTGGTTTTCTTGCTTTACAGCAAGGAGGAGGCAAGGAAAGGAGGAGGTGCTGGGGGGGAGACCGCGGGGAGCATTGGAGCTTCCAAAACCCATCACACCCAAATAACCATCAATACATAGTGTTTCCTTGCATCCTAGACAACACAACATGTAAACCAAGCATACACAACCTTTCCTTGCATGTTATGATGGGGGGGGGGAACCTATGTATATGTATATGAATATGTACATGTACATGTATAGGTATATGTGTACGTGTATGTGTATGTGTATGTGTATGTGTATGTGTATGTGCATGTATGTATGTATGCATGCATGCATGCATGCATGCATGCATGTATGCATGCATGCATGCATGCATGTATGTCTGTCTGTCTGTCTGTCTGTCTGTCTGTCTGTCTGTCTGTCTGTATGTATGTATGTATGTATGTATGTATGTATGTATGTATGTATGTATGTGTGTATGTATGTATGTAATGTGATGCATGCATGTAATGTGATGTATGTAATGTGATGTATGTATGTATGTATGTATGTATGTATGTATGTATGTAATGTATGTATGTATGCATGCATGCATGCATGCATGCATGCATGTACGTATGTATGTATGCATGCATGCATGTATGTATGTATGTATGTATGTATGTATGTATGTATGTATGTATGTATGCATATATCTATGTATGTATGTGTGCATGTGTGTATGTGTGTATGTGTGTATGTGTGTATGTTTGCATTCATGCATGCATGTATGCATGCACGCATGTATGCATGTATGTATGTATGCATATATGCATATATGCATGTATGCATGTATGCATGTATGCATGTATGCATGTATGCATGTATGCATGTATGTATGCATGTATGCATGTATGTATAGCTATATCCCAGGCCAAGCCAGGGGGTGGCATGCACCAGCTCTGGGCCCAGGAGGGGCCTGGCCAGGTGCGGGCGGGATCGGCATCAAGCCAGCCGCATCTATACTGTATGTGCGTCGGCCCTCTTAGGTGACGCGCGCGTTCAGAGTTTTGGAATGTGCTCGGTGGCGGGCGGCTTCTTGTCATACTGCTTAGGCGACGCGCTGCTATACGATGCTTGTGCCGCACGTTCGGTTCGGACGTGCGCCTCCAAGGTGGGCGCAAAGTACTGGTGTATGCCCTTCTGCGTCCCTGTGGGCATGCAAGGGGATCTTGCCGCCCCAGGCTCGGAGCCCGACGCGCGGCAGCCTCAGCAGCGACCAGACCGCGGCAGCGGCGGCCTCCACAGCGGCTCCTCGGCCGCAGGCGCCTGGCCCGCCCGCGGCCGAGCCGCAGCCAGCCGCAGCGCCGCGCACTGCCTCGGCGGGGCAGGGCGGAGTGGCGAAGCCGCCCGCTGCGCGCGCGAAGCAGGATGGGACGACGCCAACCCTGGTGCCATTTTTTAAATGAATTGTTTCGCCGATCGGCGCGGGCCCTTGGCCTCCCCCCTTCCATCGACCAGATCGTGGCTGCTTCTGGCGGCCCCCCCCCAGTCTGCTTTCGCGACTGGCTCGGACGACGCCCGGAGATCCTAGCGTCGCAGTGTTTTCAGAACGGGCAATTTTGCTCTGCTCTGGGCCATGGGGCCCTCGCGGATCGATCCGGTCCAGAAGCGGCCGCAGAGAGAGTCCAGGGCTCCGCGGTCGAGTTTTGTTCACGATGCTGCGGTGTTGTTCGCCACGTCGGATTTCAGGGACCGTGTGCCAGACCAGCTCGATACAAGACGACGACGGCGGCGGCAACGACGACGACGACGATGCAGACGACGACGATGACGACGACGACGACGACGACGACGACGACGACGACGACGACGACGACGACGACGACGACGGCGGTTACGACGGCGACGACGGCGGCGACGACGTTAATGACAACGATGACGGCGACGACGTCGACGACGGCGACAACGACGACGACGGCGACGGCGACGGCGACGACGACGGCGGCAGCGACGGCGACGGCGACGGCGACGGCGACGGCGACGGCGACGGCGACAGAGGCGGCGACGGCGACGACGACGACGACGGCGACGACGACCACGACGGTGACGACGCCGACGACGACGACGACGACGACCACGACGACGACGACGACGACGACGACGGCGGCGACGACGGCGGCGGTGACGACGACGGCGACGACGACGGCTGCGGCGACGGCGACGACGACGTGTAGAATTTGCCAGCATACGCGGAAGCGTGCATCGAGCTACCCTGGTGCACGGTGGGCGCCGTCCCCCTCAGGAGCTTCACCCCTGGGTGCAGCGCGCTCCCCCTCCCGCGGGTGCCTCGGGCGGCGCGGGGCGGCGGCGCTCTGGGGAGGAAAAGGCATATGGATGCCTCTGCTCATCCCCCAGACCCCTTCGAGTCGTATAACATCGGAGGCCCAGAGGTTGACACCAACAATATCGGCGGTGTGCCTCCACCGAGGGAAGGTGCGCCCGATCTCGGTGATGGTGGTCATGTTCGGGCTTCCTAGGTGGCCGAAGGATTACTACCACCACCAACACCTAAGATCATCTTCCCCTGGTGGAGGCAGACCCCTGTGTCGGTGTTGGTGCCAATTTCCAGGCCTCCAGTAAAAAGCACAACGGACGTTTTTTCGCCTGTTTCGGCTTCTGGGGCCCTTCCTGGGCCTCGGGGCCGTCAAATAACGACTCAGGATGAAGAGCAAGTCCTAGGGAGTTTGCCGAAACCTCTGGGGGTCGACGTCATGAGAAAATCATGACGTCGGGGGTCTAGACCTGAAGAGCCCTCCCGCCACGACTGGCTTCTCCCCGAGAAACCTGTTCAGAACGCATCCCGAGTAGCGGTGTCCCTACGACCAAAATGCGAAACCTGCCCTTGCAGGTCCAATCTACGCTTGGGAGTTGGGCAGCCCTGGCGGGGCCCACTTGGCTGCAGGCACCCTGCAAATTCTGATCCCCGGCCAGGTTTCCAAGAATTCTGACCTGCAGGGTAAGGGTTCACACGGGGTGGCCTGGGTATCGGCGTCTCCTCTGTCCCTCCAGGAGCGGGCTCCTGGCGGGCTGCTGGCGGCGCGCCACGTGCTCCCAGCGCGCGGCGGCGCTGGCCACGCTGGGCATCGTGGCGCTCCTCGCCGCAGGCTCGGCCCCCGCCGTGCTCCAGCCGCAGGAGCCGGCGCCGCCGCCCCAGCGCGGGCCAGGGCTGATGCCAGCACCGCAGCCCTCCGCGGCGCCCTCGGAGGAGCAGGTGCCGACGCCAGCGCCGCGGCCAGGGCCTGCGCCAGAGCCGTCCCCATCCAGATCCCATGGGAAGGAGCCAGCGCCGTCGCCTGAGCCCCAGCCGCAGCCTGAGCCTGCGCCTGCTCCGCACGGGCACAAGCACGGCCTTGCGCCGGCGCCAGCCCCTGCCTCGCAGCCCTCCCGGCCGCACTCGGAGGAGAAGGTGCCGACGCCAGCGCCGCGGCCAGGGCCTGCGCCAGAGCCATCCCCATCCAGATCCCATGGGAAGGAGCCAGCGCTGTCGCCTGAGCCCCAGCCGCAGCCTGAGCCTGCGCCAGCTCCGCACGGGCACAAGCACGGCCCTGCACCTGCGCCAGCCCCAGCACTGCAGCCCTCCCCGGCGCATTCGGAGGAGAAGGTGCCGACGCCAGCGCCGCGGCCAGGACCTGCGCCAGAGCCGTCCCCATCCAGATCCCATGGGAAGGAGCCAGCGCCGTCGCCTGAGCCCCGGCCGCAGCCTGAGCCTGCGCCTGCTCTGCACGGGCACAAGCAAGCCCTGGCCTGGCAGCCCAGAACCGCTGCTTTACCCGGCGCTCTCGGAGGGGAAGGTGAGGACGCCAGCGCCGCGGCCAGGGCCTGCGCCAGAGCCATCCCCATCCAGATCCCATGGGAAGGAGCCAGCGCTGTCGCCTGAGCCCCAGCCGCAGCCTGAGCCTGCGCCAGCTCCGCACGGTCACAAGCACGGCCCTGCACCTGCGCTAGCCCCAGCACCGCAGCCTTCCCCAGCGCACTCGGAGGAGAAGGTGCCGACGCCAGCGCCGCGGCCAGGGCCTGTGCCAGAGCCGTCCCCATCCAGATCCCATGGGAAGGAGCCAGCGCCGTCGCCTGAGCCCCGGCCGCAGCCTGAGCCTGCGCCTGCTCTGCACGGGCACAAGCACGGCCCTGCGCCTGCGCCAGCCCCAGAACCGCAGCCTTCACCGCCGTACTCGGAGGAGAAGGTACCGACGCCAGCGCCGCGGCCAGGGCCTGCGCCAGAGCCGTCCCCATCCAGATCCCATGGGAAGGAGCCAGCGCCGTCGCCTGAGCCCCAGCCGCAGCCTGAGCCTGCGCCTGCTCTGCACGGGCACAAACACGGCCCTGCGCCTGCGCCAGCCCCAGAACCGCAGCATTCCCCGGCGCACTCGGAGGAGAAGATGCCGACGCCAGCGCCGCGGCCAGGGCCCGCGCCAGAGCCGTCCCCATCCAGATCTCATGGGAAGGAGCCAGCGCCGTCGCCTGAGCCCCAGCCGCAGCCTGAGCCTGCGCCTGCTCTGCAGAGGCACAAGCACGGCCCTGCGCCTGCGCCAGCCCCAGAACCGCAGCTTTCCTGAGACGTGTCCTAGGAGAAGGTGGCGACGCAGCACCGCGCGCAGGCCAAGGGGTCTGCGCCAGAGCCGTCCCCATCCAGATCCCATGGGAAGGAGCCAGCGCCGTCGCCTGAGCCCCAGCCGCAGCCTGAGCCTACCCCGTCCCCGCACGGGCACAAGCACAAGCACGGCCCTGCGCCTGCGCCAGTCCCAGCCCCTCAGCTTTCACCGCCGCACTCAGAGGAGAAGGTGCCGACGCCAGCGCCGCGACCAGGGCCCGCGCCAGAGCTGTCCCCATCCAGATCACATGGAAAGGAGCCAGCGCCGTCGCCTGAACCCCAGCCGCAGCCTGAGCCTGCGCCTGCTCTGCACGGGCACAAGCACGGCCCTGCGCCTGCGCCAGCCCCAGAACCGCAGCCTTCACCGCCGCACTCGGAGGAGAAGGTACCGACGCCAGCGCCGCGGCCAGGGCCTGCGCCAGAGCCGTCCCCATCCAGATCCCATGGAAAGGAGCCAGCGCCGTCGCCTGAGCCGCAGCCGCAGCCTGAGCCTGCGCCTGCTTTCCACGGGCACAAGTACGGCCCTGCGCCTGCGCCAGTCCCTACCCCGCATTCTTCCCGGCCGCACTCAGAGGAGAAGGTGCCGACGCCAGCGCCGCGGCCAGGGCCCGCGCCAGAGCCACCCCCATCCAGATCTCATGGAAAGGAGCCAGCGCCGTCGCCTGAGCCCCAGCCGCAGCCTGAGCCTGCGCCTGCTCTGCAGAGGCACAAGCACGGCCCTGCGCCTGCGCCGGCCCCAGAACCGCAGCCTTCCCCGGCGCACTCGGAGGAGAAGGTGCCGACGCCAGCGGGGCCTGCGCCAGAGCCGTCCCTATCCAGATCCCATGGGAAGGAGCCAGCGCCGTCGCCTGAGCCCCAGCCGCAGCCTGAGCCTGCCCCGTCCCAGCACGGGCACAAGCACGGCCCTGTGCCTGCGCAAGCCCCAGCACCGCAGTCTTCCCGGCCGCACTCAGAGGAGAAGGTGCCGACGCCAGCGCCGCGGCCAGGGCCCGCGCAAGAGCCGTCCCCAGCCAGATCTCATGGAAAGGAGCCAGCACCGACGCCTGAACCGCAGCCACAGCCAGAGGTTACCCCGTCCCCGCACGGGCACAAGCACGGCCCTGCGCCTGCGCCAGCAACTGCCCCGCAGCCTTCCCCGCCGCACTCAGAGGAGAAGGTGCCGACGCCAGCGCTGCGGCCAGGGCCCTCGCCGGAGCCATCCCCATCCAGTTCTCACAGGAAGGAGCCAGCACCGTCGCCTGAGCCGCAGCCGCAGCCTGAGCCTGCGCCAGCTCCGCACGGGCACAAGCACGGCCCTGCGCCTGCACCAGCCCCAGAACCGCAGCCTCCACTGGCGCACTCCGAGGAGAAGGTGCCGACGCCAGCGCCAGAGCCATCCCCATCCAGAGCTCATGGGAAGGAACTAGCACCGATGCCTGGGCCCCAGCCGCAGCCTGCGCCTGCCCCAGCCCCGCACGGGCACAAACATGGCCTTGCGCCTGCGCTTGGCTGTGGGGGGGTGCCCCCTCGTTGTCGTCGTCGTCGTCGCCGTCGTCGGAGGCGTCGTTGTCCTCGTCGTCGTGATATGAGGAGAAGGAGGCGGAGGAGGAGGAGGAGGAGGAGGAGGAG